TGTTTCCTGTGTAAACGTTCGTGGACATATGCTGTTGTTGCCGGCAGTGCTCTAACTCTTTTTCATGTAGCTCCATAAATAGCCTCGTTATCGGCTGTCCTCTAGTCAGGCCATCTCACGCTTTCCACCCACAGATCTGTCTCCCGACTGAACTTATTACTGCATAAGCATCGTTTTGTTTGAAGCAGGAGTTCATTTACGCCCGAACTCCCTGCTTAGTCATTATTAGTAATTAATGACTTATTAACTAAGTAACTACATGAAGCAGAGTCCTTTTGGAGAAGGTGGTAGTCGCTCAGGTAGTCAAGATATTTTCCGCCTTTTATATGAAACTCGAAGTTTTGTTGGACCGTGTTCGCAAGAAGTGGACCACATCCTGAGATAGATGAATGCAGTCTACATTTTTGATAATTATGTTACCATCCAGCGCAGTATGATCTATCAAAGTTGAAAGGAATTTGCATTTCTTGCTACCAATGTCGCCACCGTCAACTTAATTTCAGTTTTTTTACATCACACAAACGGTGCACTCGTACAGTCACATGTGACGGATATAGGCTATTATATCAGGCGAAGATAAATACAGAGTGATAGAAAAGTTACGCAGACCGTGTTTTATTTGTTAAAAAATAAATTAAACCGAAGTTTAACAAAATCAGTGTTATGTTAAGTGTTGGAAATATCAGCCGCGTTCATCGATGTGTGAATTCTGTTCTTTCTCATGTTTGATTCAATCCGGCGAACAGTTTCTGTCACGGAAACGGTTCACCAGACGAGATATTGTCGATTTCTTTGGCACAGGAGAGTCGGGAACTGTTTCCCTAAACTCATTCTGGGAAGTAAGAACGAGATGCCAGTAGTTTTCGACAACGAACACTCGTTGCACGTGAGAGAAAGACGTCTTCGCGCGTTGACTGTTGGAATACAGGCAACGGACTGGCGCGAGCAGGTTACAGTATTATGTGATCTGCATGGAACCTTGTGTAATGAAAGCGATATTCTTTATTAATTAATCCAATATAACTGTATTGAATTACAATCATCAATATATACTATGTTATTTCAACAGTTTCTTATACAACTTTTGTTAACACTTCAAGTTGTTTTGCAAGTGTTTAGTATGGTCGCCCCTGGTTATGGGTAGACATTCTAATTAACTGTATAGCTCAGATAGATGTCAATTTCTTGGACAAACTGTAGGACGAATTAAAAATATTTTGACCTAGGATAGAGAGTAGTAGAAGGCTGGAGAAAATTTCATGAAGAGCTTCACGAACCATTCTGTGAAGTTCATGAGTTGTTTAGTGTGAAGTGATAATGAATTTTGTGTTGGATGGGATTTGGAAGGAAGCTATCGTGTCCTTGTTTATGTTACAGTTGTAGTAGTTAGTTTGTCAGATAGGACGTAAGGACTCGAATATGCGACATTCTCAGTGCGAAAGGGCGCTGGCTGACCCGTCATCCACGATGCTTGGATCTCTGTCATGCAGATATTGGATTGTACTGGGTATTTTTGTTGTTGCACGTCCCTGCTTGTTTTCCTATTCAATTACGTTAATTGGAATATTCCTCGCCCCTCCCCACGAGGTTGCAGGAAAAAGCTCTGGTGCGAGTTTGAATTAGTTTTGTCTTGTAGTACAGCAAGACAATGCACGATGGAGATTTGGAAGGCCGCGGTCGAAAGGACGCGAAGGATTTCTTTAACTGGCGGTGAGGTGGGGAATGCGCAAGGCCTGATGAGGCAGCAGGAACGGTCGCAGCAAATTAGAAAGTTCTCTTCGAGACCAGAGTTGCCCGTAAGGAAACTTCGAAACTGAGAATAGTTTAACAACGAATTGTCTTCTGTAGATGATCTTGAGCTGGTGAAAAGCAGATGGACGATGGACGTGGTTTATTGTAATGTGCTATCCCAGTGTGGCGTGGCTGTTGAGGAAGCATAAAAAATGAGAGTGATTTGTTTAACAACGCATGTTTTCAAGATGGCTGTCTTGTGGGAAACTGCGCCGTGTAATCTCGTGAAGGTTGATCGAACAGGTGCTTCCGGTCTCTGTCATCAGGGCGATGAGTTTACTCAGCCTTGTGATGGAGGTTGTGAGCACCTCCGAAACGTCGTCTTCTAGGAGACATCTTCATATTCGCCGCCGTGAGAACCAGAAATATCACAACACATTCTTTTGCGTTGGCGGCTGATGTGATGATTTGTTAGGCACGAGACGGTATCTGATGATAAAGATGTGCGGAGACTGCAAAAATAATTGATCAAAAATGATGTAAAAATAAAAACCGACTGGTTGTCTGCTGTAAAATATTGTTATAATTCGCGCAATCAAAAGAAGCATCTGCGCGCTATTTTATTTTATTTCTTTACTGTAATACGGTCAATTAAAATTTTGAC